CGTCAGAGGAAAAGATAAAGTACCAAGGCGAAATTCTGCTAAAATTCTGGGGCTTCTACTTTTATCAAGTGAGTGCGTAGTCCATTTCATGAACATGATTTTAATACAAGTATCAATTAAAGTATTAGAGTTTATATGTGAGCTATATGCTTATTGACTAGAATATGTGTTAGAACCGCATTTGTTAATAAACGACATGCGAACCAGATATGGTTCTATATGTGTTAAGATGTATATCTATTATTTCATTATATTAATAATTAGAGTGTCATTAGAAAAAGTGTACTAATACATAAAAATACTCTGTGTCAAACAAACACACAAAGGTAGAATAGAGTACCCTAAAGCGGGGTTTGTATTAGGAGTGGAGTGTTGTAGTCTTACCAAGAGATAAGATAAGACTTGTAAATGAGGCTTAGGATTAATGAGTTGGATATTGCGTAGCATATTCTTAAGGCTACATGTGAGACATGAACAGAGAGTAGGACCCTGACATTCCTAATCCAAGAGTATAGATTAGGTATAGTCAAGGTTTTAAAAATTGCTTGACGTTAGCTAGTCAATGGACATGGGTGAAGGGATTAATCGGCTAGGCGGAGATTAATCAGGGGACTAATCGGGGACCATTAACTGCTAATTTGTTAGATTTTAAAAAAGTAAATATGAATAATAGCATATAAAAAGTTTGTAAATACCACTAATATCATAACAAAATAGGTTAATATGATAAATACAACACTAATCATACCTCAAATAGTTTCTGTTGAGATATAACTTCTTCAATGTGTTAAAATTTCACCGGGTTCTAATGTTTCGGTCATTGTGTATGCATGGATTAATCGCTAGGCAGCTTCTAATCGGTCGAGTAGTGCCTAGGGATTAACCAGAGATTAATCGGGGCCTAATCAGGTTTTTTACAACAGTGGGTATGGATTAAGTATAGTCACGCATTACTGATCCGAGAGTATGGATTAAAGAAGTTACTGATCTGAGAGTATGGATTAAGTATAGTCATGCATTACTGATCCGAGAGTATGGATTAAATATAATCATGGTTGTAGAACTCGTTACTCGGTACCTGTTCGGCCGACTACCGAGTAGCGAGTACTCGGGAGTACTCGGGGAGTACTCGGATTCGGTAATTCATGAAGTAATATTTTTAAGGAAATTATATATGTCAAAATCATAAGCTAAAATAATATGTTGATTGTAATATATAACAAAATTAGATTCATGTGAGTACACAAAAACTGAAAAACGCATAATGGTCTCACTTCGTGAATAATAACTGAAAGTTTAAGATATATATGTAGTAATAATCATATGTGTGTGTGTTAAATAAAAAATAATTAAGTATATTATATATATTAATCACCGAGTTGACTGAGTTTTACAATACTGCTCAGTTCAATAAGGGGCCGATTGGGGAGTACTCAGGATTCTGTAACTCGCATCGGCAAGGGGCTGAGTAGCGAGTACTCAGAGGAGTAATCGGCCAACTCGGCGAGGTTTACAACACAGCTCGGTACCTGTTCGGCCGACTACCGAGTAGCGAGTACTCCGGGAGTACTCGGATTCGATAATTCATGTAGAAATATTTTTAGGGAAATTATATATGTCAAAATCATAAGTTCAAACCATAGGTTTATTGAAATATATAACAAAATTAGATACATGTGAATACACAAAATTGAAAAACACACAATGGTCTCACTTTGTGAATAATTAATCAAAATTTAAGATATATATATATATATATATATATATATATATATATGTTGTAATAATCACATGTGTGTGTGTGTTAAATAATAAATCATTAATTATATTATACATATTAATCACCGAGTTGACCAAATTTTACAACATTGCTCGCTTCAGTAAGGAGCCGATTGGGGAATACTCGGATTCTATAACTCGCATCGGTAAGGGGCCGAGTAATCGGCCAACTCGAGGAGTTTTACAACACTGAGTATAGTCATCTGTTACTGATCCGAGAGTATGGATGAAGTATAGTCATTCGTTACTCATCGGTAAGGGGCCGACAACTCGAGGAGTTTTACAACTCTGAGTATAGTCATTCGTTACTGATCCGAGAGTATGGATGAAGTATAGTCATTTCTTAATGATCCGAGAGTATGGATTAAGTATAGTCATTCATTCCTAATCTGAATGTATAGACTAGGTATATCATTCATCCGAGAGTATGGATAGTCATGCATCACTAATCCGAGAGTATGGATTAGGAATAGTCATTTATCACTGATCCGAGAGTATAGATTAGGCATATTCATTTATCATTGATCCGAGAATATGGATTAAGTACCTTCAATTATCATTGATCCTAGAGCATGGATTAGGTATAACATTTCGAATGTTCTATTATTTTCCCTGATGTCTCCATCGATCCTCGAATCCCCAAAGCAACATAGTAAAGTTGTCATTCACAATAATCCTTCTGGATAAATATTGGAAGGTTGTATAGGATCAAAATGTGAGGACCGACGGGATGGGTAGATTACCTATAAGAGATATATTTATGCTAATTGATCATTTAGGATTTAACACACACAGACACACACAAATATATATATATATATATATATATATATATATAAACAGGATCATGTGATGACTCTTTTTTCGGTGAGGACCCGTGAGGACACCATAAAAAATTGACAAAAAATTAAAAAAAAAAATACAGATCATAAAATCGAGCATAGTACTATAATGGAGAGAAAACAAATTGGAAAAAAAATTTTGATCATTAAAATTGAATCATGGATCATTTTTATGATCCATGATTCAATTTTAATGATCAAAAGAAAAAAATTCCAAATTTTGGTTTCTCTCAAATATACTACTATGCTTGATTTTATGATTTGTATGTTTTTTCTAATTTTTTTTTCAATTTTTTTAAGGTGTCCTCACGAGTCCTCACCGAAAAAAGAGTTCTCACTGGAACCGAACCGTATGTATATATATATATATATATATATATATATATATATATATATATATATATATATATATATATATATATATATATATATATATATATATATATATATATGAGAGAGAGAGAGATTGCCTATATAAGATCTATCTATGTTAATTGGTCTTTATGTTTTAACACACACACACACACATATATATATATATCTATATATATATATCTATATATATATATATATATATATATATAGATATATATATATATTTAAAAATTATGGGATTGAAAACCTTATTTACTCACCAGGTTTCACATCGTGATCCACTCAGTTTCTTTGGATCACAAGTAGCAGTACAAAGGTATATGAATGACTGGAGATTCAAGGAGATGTAGATTGTTAGTATAAGATACTGTAAGACATGTTTATGTTTATGTTTTGTATCAGTTATGACTTCCTAAGTTTTAATGAATCTATGGAAAAACATTTCTTCGAAAATATTTTTTATGGGACAAATTCTGCATTTATAAATAAACTCTGTTTTAAATAAGCATAAATAAAAAGTTTTAAAATGACCGTAAAAATAGAGATGTCACAAGTTCTTGTTGTTTGAGGAGCATAGAAGTGATTCAGAATGCTTGATTTTGTAGTGTGTATTTTGATGGGTTTTAACCAAAAAGTCAAATGTTATTTGTATTACTTTCGATAGCTCAGATTATTCTTTTTGATGCTTTTTCTACATTTTTACATATCCTAGAGCCTATCGACATTTATCGACTACCAAATATATGAGTTTGCGGATTTCTTCTTGATTGCTTCTCACTATGATATCTCGTTCGATTTTCTTATTCACTTGTAGCTAATTTGTATTTTAGTTTCTTGTAACACATTCCAAACTTTAAGAGGGGGGGGGGGGGGGGGGGGGGGGGGGAGGGATGTTGGGATTTGAGAGAGATTTGTACGAGGTTCTTTACACCTCTATATATGGAGAGTATCATATCCGTTGTAAGGTGTGTTTAAGAGATGTAACCTTTGAGAGTTTTGAGTTAAGTTATTTATTTAGACTAGATCCATATTATACTTTTTGTAACTCTTCACTATGATTGCTAATGTCTTTTAATACCAATATCATCATCTCCATCGTGTTTTTATTATTCTGCATGTCAAATGAAACTTTCATGTCCTAACAGTGGTCTGTGCCGAACACATACTAGTTTAGGAGGTAAGAAGGACGATACAAGTAACATATACCATGCCAAAAATGTGGTCACTTTGAATATTGAATTTTTGATTATGTCTATGTAGTCTCTATTACATGTTGGGGAAGATAATAACTTGAGCAAAGTCAATTGATATGATTATTGGAAGTGATTATAAGATCATATTTGTTTTGTGTATCATAATTAATATACTTCATAATTAATCGGGAATTATGTTATTAACCATAAGCTCTGTTTGGATCCGACTATTACTTATTCTAACTATCTAATGGTTTTAGAGATTTATTTTTAACCGAGTTAACGAAATCGATAAGAAAATATTTCTAGTGGGGAAAAGAATGTTGAAGCTCCGTATCACCTAACAATAGTAAAAGAGTGATGACGGCGATGGTCAACTAACAACGGACCGAATGGAGGGTGTGGTGGTGTGTGAAGAGTGACAATGCTTAAATGAAGGGATGTCATTTGAAACCAAAAGAAGGAGAAGAACAATGTGGTTATGTGGTGGTATAGAGACGTTAAACAGCTTGAAATCAAGGGTTTTTAGACGATTGATAAGGAATAATATAGATTTTTAAGAAGAGGGTAAAGAGGGGATGAATGGTGGTGGCAAGTTGGGGAGCTCTGAAAACTCACTGTTCATGTGGTTGATATTTGTTATTTTAAAAATAAATAAATAAGTATATGGACAATAATTGAAAAATCAATTTCAATTGTAACATTTTAAAAAACTATTGTCTATTTTGCAAGCTGAAGAATCAATATTTCAGTGAAAAGAAAACAAATAAAAATGTCCAATTACCACAAAAAATAAAGATGCCATAATAAATTATTCGTTGACGATAACATGATCAATAAATCGACCAATTGATGCGTGAGAAGATCCACCTTCGGAGACTGCAAACCTGCTCTTCTCCTTCGTCTCTTTCACTTTCTTCCTCATCTCACCGTCACTTATCAACCTCCTTATCCCACTCTCAATCTCCGCCGCCGACACAATAACCTCCTTCTCATTGCTACCTGGTCTCATATTGGAACGGTAATCGATTTTAATCTCCGCCGCTAATCCTAGCTCCACCACCAATTTAAAAGCATTCAGTTGTTGTTCGGCGTAGAGTGGCCAAGCTGCCACCGGTACCCCACACCATATGCTCTCCAATGTCGAGTTCCACCCACAGTGTGACACGAATCCTCCGACTGAAGGATGGGACAGCACCGCCGTCTGCGGCGCCCATCCGATCACCTTCCCCACCCCTGATGTCCGTTCAAGGAAACCTTCCGGTAGAACATCCTCGTAGTTTTCATAGTCCTTGGGAAGACCCATCAGCTTATCCTTCGACGGCGGACGGCGGAGCGACCATAAGAATCTCTGTCCACTCTTTTCAAGTGCAACAGCTATCTCCTTCACTTGTTCCTCGTTGAAGCTTCCCATGCTACCAAAACAGAGGAACACCACCGAGCTCTCCGGCTGGTCATCTAGCCACGTCATAATCCCGTCGGCCTTACCATCGTTTGTAGAGTTTTTCAGGTTCAGTATCGGCCCCACCGGAAAAACCAGTGGGATGTTGGCGTTGCTCCTTAAAAAGGACTCCATGGCATACCTTTCGAGCTCTTCGAATGTATTTACTAGTATACCCTTCATCCCACGATACTTTCTTGCTAGACCAATAAACGTGTTACACCCACCATCCTTATCGAACAACACCGAAGGTAAAACCTTAGCCGGGACCGGGTTGGCGTAACTCGGAAGGGACACCTCCAATTCCGAGTCTTTCAACTCAGTGACATCAAAGTCTTCGTCGTCATGCTTGGCCTGTAAGTCAAACATCAGCCCGAGTGCGGCGGCGCTTGAAGTGAAGTAAAGGTAAGTTGGAACTCCAAACTCGTTGGCAACGTCGGTCATGGCTACACAGAACATGTCGACAACGAACCCAACGAGTCGAACCGAGTGAGACTCGGTGATGCCACTGACGATGTCTCTGACATGAGGCTTCTGGTTTTCGAGGAACTTGGAGATGAAGGTATTAGGTGAGATAAGATCTTTTGTTGAGTCGTCACTCGGGATGTCGATCAAGCGTAGACGGGGAGTGGAAGTCGGAGTTTCAGTATCCGGTTTTGCTTCGAGGGGGGAGGTTCATGATGATGATGGTGATGGAAAGCCGTTGATCACGGTCGAGGAGGAGCTTGGCAAGCTCCACCGTAGGTGGCAGGTGGCCGGCTCCCGGAGATGGGATGAAAACTAGTTCTGATGTGGTCATGTGTTTGTTCTTGGAAGTTGTGTGGTTGTGTTTCGATGGTTCGATATCTTTTGTTTATATGTACAATATCTTCCCACGGAGTTTAAAAAGATGACGCTATTGCATTGGTCATTATTTTAGTGAGTAGCAAAATCCAATTTCACTTCTTGTAGATTGATTGATGTACTCTCGATTATTTGTTAAGATCTGAGATTGGTATTAGCACGGAAAGATTTTGCACTTCCTTCTCTTACTTGGTTGATAGACTTTCCTCTTTTCTTTTTTAGTTTGATCAAAACTTTTTGATTTTTGAATTATTATTATTTTTTTTTATATTTTATAATTTACTGTTTGGTGGAAAGTTAAATACACTCTTGGGATACATTTGCTGTATGTATAATTTCGTTTAAAACTTGTTACAATATAATTTGTATCCAAATAATAGCTTTATTTTTCTTATGATAAGTTTGTATTATTTTGCTTAGCTATATTTCTCATTTATATCAATGGTGGAAAAAAGATCATTTTGGAAGTTACCGTGGTGATTTACAAGTGTGTGGAGTTGAGTCGCGAAGGTACGTATTGTTCTTGGTAAGTTGTGAAATTAAGATTTCTATATAATTCATTGTTTTAAATAGTACAATCAATATATATTATTTAGGGATAATGACTTGAAAGGTAACAAACTTTCGACTTTGTTCACATTTAGTCACTAAACCTTTTTTCGTTATCTATTTGCCACTGAACTATTAAAACTGTTCATATTTTACCCTTATAACCGGTTGTTACCGGTCATAAGGGTAAAATGTGAACAGTTTCAAAAGTTCAGTGCCAATAAATAATGAAAAAAAGTTTAATTACTAAATATGAACAAAATCGAAAGTTCGTTTCCCTTAAAAAAGTTCAATGACTAAATGTGAACAAACTTCCTATTGTATTATGTTTTAACAAATTATATATTTTTGTTAAATTCTAGCAACATTTATTGATGAAGAAATGTATGAAATAAAACAAAAAAAAACAAAACCTCGAAAATATATTTAAAAAAAACGAAAAACCGAAACCGAAATAAAAAACCAGTGGTTAGGCATTTTCCAAAATAAAAAATCAAAATTTTCAATCTGAATTTGATTTTACAAAAAAATTAACCATTCTCACTGATGTGAATTATGACCATTGATTTGGCATGCGGAATTAAAGAACACACAAAGAACACGGTGATTTAGGTGTTTAAGAGATGCATTCGATTATGAAATGTGTTTACAAAAAATGATCTAGATCTAAATCTACATAATTAACACATATTAACACTCTCAATGTTACATCTCTCAAGCACACCTCTACATGTGGTATGAACCCACCTTATATATATATATATATATATATATATATATATATATATATATATATATATATATATATATATATTATGTCACAAGGGGGACTTTTGGATAGAAAAAAATCCGAATTGAGCGCTTTTTCATTCCCTTTTTGGTTTTATAATCATTTTTCGATTATAAAAAGGAAGAGAGATTTAGATATGGAAATCCGAAATTTGAATTTTTGTAAAACCAAAATCAGATTGAAAAGTTGTGATTTTTTATTTTGGAAAATACAAAACCATTGGTTTTTTATTTCGGTTTTGGTTTTTCGTTTTTTTAAATATATTTTTCGGGGTTTTGTTTTTTTTTATTTCATAGATTTTTTCATCAACAAATGTTGCTACAATTTTACAAAAATAAATAATTTGCTAAAACATAATACAAGAGGAAGTTTGTTCACATTTAGTCATTGAACTTTTTTAGAGGGAAACAAACTTTCGATTTTGTTCACATTTAATCACTAAATTTTTTTTTCGTGATCTATTTGTCATTGAACTATTGAAACTGTTCACATTTTACCCTTATGACCGGTAACAACCGGTCATAAGGGTAAAATGTGAATAGTTTCAATAGTTCAATGGCAAATAGATAACCAAAAAACGTTTAGTGACTAAATGTGAACAAAGTCGAAAGTTTGTTACCCTTTCAAGTCATTATCCCTATTATTTACTATGAACTTCTAAGGGCCGAGCTAAGAACGACCTATGGAGGGTATTTTGGATATTTATAAGTCTTTTACTCATTTAATTAAAAAAAGAAACATGTAAGTGTCTTGAAGGGGATAATGTCATGTAGCACAATGAAGTTTTTGGTTAGATAATTTGACCCATCATGTTATTTTTTTTGCACAATAGGCCATCTAATTTTTACTATACATGTTAATTAAGTCATTATCGTTACCTTTTAATCATTCCTCCGTTAAGCAGTTATCATAAATTACACAATTCTCCCTATGATTTAAATTTCTTTTGTAGTTGGTCTTTTACCCGTTATAGTTTAAATTACGACACAACCAAAACTGCCACGTTTCTAAAATTATGGGGACCAAAGTGCAACATTGTTATTGTCTTCCCCATTAAATCTGGTTGAAACATACCAGGCAGAAATTACCATTTCGGGTTTAACAAATTCAACCTATACCAGGCAAAAAAAATTCAAATTAATTAACGATTAATGGTTCATCGGATTCAATTCCATAGACATTGCATCATATTTTGTATATAACTGGTATAACTAGACTATCTCCATTACAGTAGAAGAAAGAATACACAAAATCAAATCCATAAGTAATAACTTTGACAGATGGAGCACCAGTTTACAATACATAAGTTAGAAATCCTAAAGTTTATAAAAACTTGGAAAGAACACCAATTGCACAACAGTTTCAAACTAACGGCTCCCTTTAATCATATGAACACACATAAACAAAAGAAAAATTAGCTTAGTTGTAACACCCAAAAATTCAAGCCAATTTAAAACTTTTTAAACAACCCAAAAACCATTAGTTATTACAAACTTGTTTTCAAAATGTAAAATATCAGAGTATCCCAGAAACATAGTCATAAAAAGTGAGGAGCTGTACGATCACGCCTTTGCCCTGCCACGATCCCCTGATGCACCTGAAACAATAAGCTGAAACTGTAAGCTCGAAAGCTTAGTGAGTTACCCTCACAATACCGGTACACATACAGTCCACATAACCATGTCAACAACAACATATCATAATAAACTGAACAGAACAGCACATAACGGGTCCACAGCCCTACAGACTGTAATACCCACGAGCCCACAGTACGAGTCTCCCTTAGCCCGTAACTGGAATGCTCCCGAGCCCACAGTACGAGTCTCCCTTAGCCCGTAACTGGAATGCTCCTAGGGTTTGTTTGCTACCGCTCGAAGCAGTACAACCTCAACCCATCCCATATAACAAATACATAACATAACCACTGAGCATGGAATAATCATATAACATCACAGGTAGTCCTACAGATCTACCTAACTGGCATAACCACTATCATGCAACACTAACTCATACTCAACATCTAACACTGCTAGGATAACATATCCAATGGGTCGGCCTTGGTGCCTTAGACCCCTTAGTATAGTGAGGATAACTCACCTTGCAACTGTCGTCTGAAACTAGAAAGCTCAACTCCCGGATTCACCAACACGAACTCCACCACCTATTGTTACCATAAAACCCTTTTTCATAAATCTCCAAATTACCAGAATACCCTCAGAAGTCAACTGGTCAACCCCTGGTCCGAGTCAAAGTCCACAGTCAAAGTCAACAGTCCATGTTGACTCGACTCGTCGAGTGCAGTTCACCGACTCGTCGAGTCCTTCCTGAACTCGAGAAGTCGTGAAATCCTTGATTAGCTCGTCGAGTTCCCCTTTAACTCGCCGAGTTCATACGTGTCCTAGAATTGGGAGAAACCCTAGCCAACTCGCCGAGTCTTCGAATGACTCGTCGAGTTCAAGGCAATCTTCAACGGACTCGCCGAGTTGTTCATCCAACTCGTCGAGTATATGACTATCTTCATATGACTCGCCGAGTCGACCTTGCGACTCGCCGAGTCCCTTCAGTCCTTTATCCATACAGATGCTTTTTAAGTCATGAAAAGGCTCCATATTGCAGATCTAGGCTCCCAAGGCATGTTTATCACGTAAAGTTGCAACCTTTACGTGCATGCAAGGCTCTAAAGGCTTAGAATGTCAATCTCAAGCTTACAATGGGGTTTATCTCAACATGGAAGGTTCATGCTTGCTAAAGTTGGATAGTTTATGGCTTTAGAGTCCAAGATGAGCTCAGATCTGAAGTTGCAACTTTAGATCCTAGCCCATACCCGAAAATGACTATCACCCATGCTATAAAAGCCCTAATCTTTAACATGAAGAGATCTAGAAAGAACAAGGTCAAGGTAACAACTTGTTACCTTCAGACTGATGCCACTGAGCAGAGAGATCGAATCCACCAGCTCCTCTATGATCAAATCTTCTTAAACTCCAAGCCTTCTTCTTGCAAATGCTTCAAAACACACTTTCCCTCCTTCACACACTCAAAATGGTGGTTTGGATCGGTTAGGGCTGCTTCTGGACGTCAAGGGGTGATAAGGGGGCTGAGGTAAGGACTTAAGGTCCTTTAAATAGGGTGCAAACCCTAAAACTAGGGTTTTCTCTTCCCAGCACCAACTCGTCGAGTCCAGCCGCCGACTCGGCGAGTTGGTCACTTAACACGTGACCCCAAACCCGCTCTGACTCGACGAGTAGGCATACATACTCGC